ACGCACCCCCGGTACGGCTTGTTGTGTCGACGAGAAAGGATAAAGTAGTGAACGACTTGTTATACATTTAATAAAAATTTGTATAAATAAATTCTTCTTAACATGTCATTTAAATAATACTAGATCATTAAATTGATTTTATAAATCTAACAGTAAATTACTTAACATTAAACAAATCGGAATGAGAGCATATTCAACTTCAAGTAATTCTTCTTCAAATACTACAGGTTTAATTGTTTTTTCTGATTCAGATAAAGATAAATTAGATATTCTTAACTATGTTAAAGGTAAAGCCGGTATTTACATGTGAATTAATAAATTGAATAATAAAAAATATGTCGGTAGTTCTGTTAATTTAAGACGTAGATTATTAGAGTATTTTAATGTTAACAGATTACTTAATGAAAATAGTATGCCTATTAATTTAGCATTATTAAAATATGGTTATCATAATTTTAGTTTGACTATATTAGAATTTTGTGATATAGATAATCTTATGTTAAGAGAAAAGTATTTTTTTGATGTTTATTCTTCTGAGTATAATATATTAAATACTCCTGGTAGTCCTTCTAGAGGGTCTGGATGAAGTCATTCAGAAGCTACTATAGAGAATATGCGTATTGCTGCTTATAATAGATTTAAATCTCCTGAAGAATTGGCTAAATTATCAGCAGCTCAACCTAATAGTATAAAAGTTGAGGTAATAGATTTAGAAACAAATACTTCTACTGTGTTTAACGCCATTAAAGCAGCAGCTCGTGCTCTAGGTATTGATAGAAGATATATAGAAAATTATATTTATTTAAAACAAGATAATCCTGTTTTAGGTAAATATGTATTTAAATTAATTGAATATAATGAAAAAAATATTGTAAAAGTTCAAAAAACTTCTAAAAGAGTAGAAGTAACTAACGTTAATACTAAAGAAATTACAATATTTCCTTCTATAAGTGCTACAGCTAGAGCATTAGGATATCGTCAAGCTAGTATATCTTTATATTTAAAGGAAAATAGAATTAAACCTTTTAAAGGTATATATTTATTTAAACTTATTTAAGATTACCATGCGAGAGAAGATCAATTAAATAAAAATTTGTATAATAACCCGCGTAGGGTGTCGGATAAATTTGTGGAGCGATTATCTGGTCATATGTTATTAGTAATACTTTCAAGTTTAACTTTTACCATCATGTCTTCTTCTTTTGTGTTTTTCCTACTTGGGTTATTCCCTTTATCATTTATTTTGGCTTTTTCAGGTTTAGAAATAGCTGTTTCTATAATCCAGGCTCAGGTGTTTGTTATTTTAACATCTTCGTATATCAAGGACTCTCTCTTCTTGCATTCCGATTCTAGCGCAAAACCGGGTTTATCTTCAAAGGTAAACCTAAACCGTAAGAAAAGTCTACTTTATTTAGAATGAGGGAGAAGATTATATTCTTCTGCACAAAATTCTCAACATTTTGTCTCAGGTATAAGATCATATTCTACTGAGGTAAATTCTCAATCTTTTAAACTAACTCCTTTTTGAGTTACTGGGTTCTGTGACGCTTCCCTTTCCAAAAAAGGCTTTAGTAATATGAGGTACTAATTTAACATCTACAGTAGGTATTAAATTTAGTCTAAAACAATTAGCAATAGTGAGACTTGCTCCTTATCAATATAGTGTTATAATAGGATTACTTTTGTCTGATGGGTGACTAATTATTGCTAAAAACAGAAAGAATGCAAGGTTAGGATTCGCACAGTCTGCAGCTCATGCAGGTTATTTTTGATTCGTCTTTTTTATTTTATCTCATTATTGTTCTTCTTATCCAGTAGTAATAATTAGAACTAGATTTGGAAAACAAACTATTGAATTACAATTTTTGACTCGATCCATGCCTTGTTTAACTAAACTTCATTTTCTATTTTATCCGAATGGAGTAAAAATAATTACGTCAAACATTTATGAACTTTTAACTCCTATTGCCTTAGCTCATCTTATAATGGGATATGGTTCTGTTTAACGACATGGCTTAATAATATGTACTAATAGTTATTCAATAGAAGATATAGTTATATTAATGAATGTTCTTATGATTCGTTATAGATTAGAATGCACAATACATAAAAAAAAAAGACAAAATAATAAAATTGAACATATGATTTACATTAGACAGAGTTCTATACCTTTACTTCGTACTATTGTAACTCCTTATTTACATTCTTCTATGTTATATAAGATAACTTCTATGAGTTATAAAAAAAGTAGCACAAAATTCTAACTCCTCAGTGGGGTATAAGGTACAGTTATTATTTCAAATCACTCAGCATTCAAGGGACATACAATTACTAGATAATATAATAAAGTATTTTGGGTGTGGGAAAATAGAAATAGACCCTAGAAGGTCTGTATATAATTTTAGGTTAGAAAAATTTACTGACATTGACAGTAAAATAATTACATTTTGGGATAAATATTTATTACAAGGATCAAAGCTTTTAGACTACCGCGATTTCTGTAAAGTTGCTAGGTTGATGAAAAATAAATCTCATTTAACTTTACCAGGGCTGGCTGAAATTAAATCTATTAAATCAGGAATGAATACACTAAGAGGTCTGTAATTTAGATTTACATAAAGCTTTATATTAGCCAATGCCAAATATAAATATATTTATTTCTAAAAAACATGGAGCTAAATTCTTTTCTCTCTTCGTACCTGCAGGATGTCCGCTAGGCTTACTACCTTTTTCTAGTTTTAATAGAGTTTATCTCGTATTTATCTAGAGCTATATCTTTAGGTTTAAGACTTGCACCTAACATCGTTTCAGGACATTTACTGCTTGCAATTCTAAGTGGTTTAACATATAACATCATGGCTACCGGTTTATTATCATTTATAATTGGATTACTTCCTTTGTCTTTTATCATTGCTTTCTGTGGTTTAGAAATTGCTATAGCTTTCATTCAAGCTCAGGTGTTCGTAGTTTTGACTGCTTCTTATATAAAAGACGCTTTAGATTTACATTAATTAAAATGAAAGTCTTTTGTACTCGTATTATTCCTTTATTTCGCTTTTTCAATTTAAAGAAGGTTGAAATCTCTTCAACCTTTACCCCCCCCCCCCTTTCCTGAATCGATAAGAGTCACGAGCGAGCTAAAAACTTTTTACCAGCGAAGATCCTATTCTACAAGTTTCCCTCACAGAGGTCTCAATAAGGATTTTAAAATATTACACCCTTCATGGGTTACAGGTTATATTGATGCTTGTTTTAGGGTAAATGTTTGCAAAAGTAATAATGTTAAATTAGGTTATTCTGTAATACTTATTTATTAAATAACAGCTCATCAAAGTGAAGCTGATATAATGCACAGTCTAAAAGCTTTTTCTTTACAAAAATGTAGGTAATATTGAGTATACTGGCGATAAGCGATATGTATTTTATAGAGTATCAAAATTATTTGATATTATTAATTAAATAATGTCACACTTTTTGTTTTACCCTTTACAGTCAACTAAGTTTATATATTTCACATTATGATACAAATCTGGATAAAGGTTTTACACTTAATAAAGTCAGGTTTTAAGGAATTACTAACATATAAAGCCTCTTAAAAAAAGTTTAGATGCTAGTGTATTTTAATCTGACTTCTAACACTATACTATATAATACAGAAAACATTATGCAGTCTTCGTCATTAAATGATAATATTATATACGTAGGGTTTATAGGGGCGGATGGAAGATTTAGTACAACTAAGCTATATTATACTGGAAAATGGCCAAATCATCATGCTTATTTTAGAATCCCTCAAAATATTAGAGATAAAAAAAAAAGAGTAGGCCAAGTTTGTTATTTATTTTTGATACTTACCCTTTAAATGTGAAAAACATTTAGACTTTTTGGTATTTAAATCCGCAGTAAAAATTCTGGTAAAGGTTTAAGTAGTTTTACATAAGAATAGCGTATGTCTCTTGATTTGTCTATTTCTAAAATTAATATAAATAGATATTATTCTCTTAGTCTTCTAGAAAAAGGTACAGGTATTTGTTGTAATAATTTGTTTTTAACGGTCTTAGTTTATATTTTTATTCTAGTGTTGCTTCGAGGTCCTGGCTTCGCTGGTTTGACGCACTCTAAAGGGTTTGTAAAAGTAAACCTTTACCCCCCCGGGTCCCCTCTAAAAAAAAAAATAATCGTTACTTTGGAATAAGAAATTATTTTATCAAAGTTAAATCTACTTCTAAAAAGCTGAAACCTTGGTTAGACTCCTTAGAAGCCTTACATTACTGAGAAAGTATATACTGATCTTATTAATGAACGTTCATTAATAAGGAAGGAAAATATGCTTGGTTTAATAAAATGTATGTAGGGAGTAGTATTTCAAACACTTATATAAAATAATTAGTGGTTATTATAGTAATTTTTCTCGTTCTGTTATGTCTAACCTAACTATTTTAAAAGCATTCAAAAATATGAAATTAGTAATTTTATGTTCTATATATTATAGTATACAGCTGATGAAAATATTATTTAGCGGAACAATTTTTAATTGATACGTTAAATACTGAGTATAACATTTGAAATACTGCCGGTAATACAACTGGTTATAAACACACTGCTGATACAAAGGATAAAATGAGAGTTGCTAAACGCGTGGTTTCTCAATAAACAAGGCAAAATCAGAGAAGTTAGATAGGGTTTAAAACTTTCACCTGAAGCTATCGATAAATTAAATAATCGTGTATATTTGGAAGAACATAAAGCTAAAATAAGCAAAGTTCTAACAGGTATTAAAAGATCTGAAGAGACTAAAAACAAATTAAAATCAGCTTTTCTTTAAGGGTTGAGGTTTTAGAGACAAATTAAATTAAATATTATCCTTCAATTAGTTTAGATGCTAAGCCCTTTAAGGTAGTCATTGGGCGTTAGGTATAACTATTAGAAATCAAAGAGTATATAAAGGTAAATATTTAATAAAATTATCTACTCCTGGCTGGCTGGCTTCGCAGTAGCCCGCCCCATTGGCCCGTCCGTACCCTCCCAGCTTACTAAAATTAGGAATTAATCCATTTTTATCTAAGTATCTCCTTTTTTCATAAGTCCTACGTTTAACACATAAAGCTTTCTTAACATTATCTAAATTTAAATCCTTATAATCCTTGGAAACGACCTCATCCAATAGTCTTCTCTCTTCATGCGAAGCCTTCCTCTTTAATCTTTAATATTTTCCCTTTTTCAGTTAATTCAACATTTAAGTTCTTTTTCTTATTATTTTCATTAATAAGTTAATTAACTTATCCATGTAAGTACTTTTTTCATGTAAAAATAATCTTTTTCACTTACAGATTTCTCTTCGCTCTTCTAAGAAGATCCTTATTGTTAATGGTATTGCCGACTAAACGCTGAAGTGAAAATATATTATCCTCAAACTCCACAGTGTCTTCTTATTGCTCCGCAAAGCAAATGATCTTTATTGTTAGAAACTTTCTCTAAATTAAATAGACTTAACTTAGGTTCTTTATATAAAACAAGACTAAGTTTAGAATGACCATAGTTAATTCAAATGGCTAGGGTCCGACCCATATGCACCCCGTTATCTATTAGAGAAGGGGTAAGAAATATCTTTATAATTTAAATCTTGTCATTCTAAAGAGTAATTTAAATTGTAAAACTTGTTAACATAGCTTTTCGTCTATAATAGCTTTATAATCTCGTCTGGCCATTCAAAGTCGTCAATAATATCTAAATTGTTATCAATTTTATTCTTGTAAAAGAGTAGTATAAGATGAAAAATGTCGAACTATCATTAGTTCTGATCCTGTTCAATTAGATATAATTGCTTATCTCAAGTTATTTCTAATAATAACATTTTTAATCTATAGGTAGATGTAAGCGATTTTATTTTATATATAAATACCATATCGTGTGTATTTTCCTCCTTAGCTACATATTAAGGTTAAGTTTATAGTAATATTAAAAATATAATTAAAAATTATTACAATTTTTAATACTATAAGTAATATATAACAAACAAAAAAGAGCATTAGCTTAATATACTTTATACAGCAATAACAGTTTATGTAATAGCTTTCAGCTAAAAATAAGAAAAACTAAAACATTAAAAAGTTCCTCGATTTTTGTTTATCCATAAATCCGATTAGAAAATAAAATAGGAAATATGATATAACAAAAAATGATATAGTAAATTATTAAACTTTTTTTTTTACTAGTTTAATTAAATTTAACATTTAATATACCTATAACCAGCAGGTAATAATATAATCAGTAGTAATAATATACTATATAAAAAAAAAAAAACAAAAAACAAAAAATGAGAATTTTAAAAAGTCATCCTTTATTAAGAATGGTAAATTCTTATATAATAGATTCTCCTCAACCTTCAAATATTAGTTATTGGTGAAATTTTGGTTCTTTATTAGGTTTATGTCTTGTTATTCAAATAATTAGCGGTGTCACTTTAGCTATGATTAGGCGTAGCTACAAATTCTCACTATATGCTGGAAATACCTAAAGCCCAATTTACTTATTAAGTTATAATGATTGGGATATAACAATGGACAATCAGCAGGAAACTTGTTTGACGTTAAATATTGCGACTTCCTCAAGTATCCTTAGAGACTATACGTGGGACACTTAATTATTTCATTTTTGTTTTAAATTTTATCCCGCCTTTGGCTGGCCCAAAATAGATAGTGTAATGAATCCCTTATTGGGAAGAGAGAAGAGTATTAAGTTAAGAAATAGTCCGACATTAATTGAAAAATTAATGGATTATTCAGCCTATTGTAAATATATGTCATAATAGATTTTATTTAAACAAAAATTTTGATATTAAACTAGATAAATACATTGTACCATCAACTTTAAATCCTTATTGAATTACAGGGTTTACAGATGCTGAGGGCAGTTTTTCTATGTCTATTTTAAAATCTAAAACTGCTGCAATTGGTTGAACAATTTCACCTTGTTTTATCATTACTTTACACACTTTAATTTTTTACTATGTTTTATTATCCCATAAAAATTTATTCTAACGCTGAGGCTGATAAAGCTCAAATCCTTAAAGAAAATCAAAATAAATCAGGAATTTATAGGTTTACAAATTTAATCAACGGTAAAAGATATGTTGGCTCTGCATTGGATCTCTCCAATAGATTATTATTTTATTATTCATCAGCAAAAATGAATTTTTATTTACAACAGAATAAGAGTTATATTTATTCAGCAATTATCAAGTATGGGCTAAAGGATTTTTCTATTGAAATTCTGGAGTACTGTGAACCTGATAAACTATTAATAAGAGAGAAGTACTATATTGATTTATTAGGATCAGAGTACAATATTATTCAGAATCCAATTGTTCCCCCAATGTCTGGGCGTAAACATTCAGATGAATCTAAAACAAAAATATCTGATGCTCTTACAGGTAAACCAAGAACAGAAGGAGCAGGAAGGCCTTCTCAAAAAATAGAAGTTGTAGATAAAAATACAAATGAAATTACTGTTTATAATTGTATTTGTGAAGCTGCTAGAGCCTTAAAGATAAGTCATACTATAATTGTTAAGTATTTTACTAATAATCAACAGAAGCCGTATAAAGGAAGATATACTTTTAAAAAATTTAGCAGGGTTTAGTAAGAAAAAATTTAGTACATTTAATCCTAAATATATTAAAAAATTACCTAATGAATTAGATGAAATTTTAATACGGTTAAATATTAGGTGACTTACATATTGATTTTACTCATAACAATGCAAGATTATGTTTTGAACACCCTTCGGCCTTCGGTGAGAATTACATAGTATTTATTTAGAGCTATTAAAAGCTATTCATGGATTTTTAACGTGGGTAGTATTAGTATTGTTAATGGTAAATTTGCACAATATAGAGTTCGGAATAGACAGGAATTGCCTGTTATTATAGATCATTTCAATAAATATCCATTACATACGTCAAAAATGATAAATTTTGCATATTTTTGTGAAATATTGAATCTTATGGGTTCTAAAATTCATACTAAAGTTAATGGATTTTTAAAGTTAATATCTTTAATCAATAAATTAAATAAACGCCTAAATAATTCTGTTTTAGATAAATTAGCTTATTTAGGCGTTGTGCCCATTGTACAAATTGAATTGCCTATTCTTAATAAGAATCCTATACTAAATCCAAATTGAATTTCTGGGTTTATTGTAGGCGAAGGCTGTTTCACTTACTTTACAAGAAGCCGTGTAAACTCTAAAGGAAACAGAGTTAAAGACTATACTATAGTTATGGAAGTTTCTCAAGACAATAAAGATTTATTTATTCTTAATTCAATTAAAGACTATTTTAAAATAAGGAAAGTCTATACTGACACTCAGGGGGTTTCTAGATTTAGATTGACATCAAAAGATGA